GGTCCAATTCGGATTGTGACAACAATAATTGACCATATTAGTAGAATTAAGTAAGTTTCTGTTATAACCCAACGGACTCGGTGGATTTGTTAAACTTAAAGCCCAAATAAAAGATAGGCCCATTTAATTCAAGTTTTTGATCAATGAGACTCAAGGCAGATTCATTTGTGTACAGATCCAATTTCGCTCTTGAATTTAACGCTGATCGGAAGGTACCGGAGATCGGATCGGCGGCGATGGATGGTGGCGATGATATGGACTCTCTCTTCGAGGGGATGGAACTTTTTACGCCGTCTCAAATCGCCGTAACCAGCGAGGACACGGCAATTTCGCCGCCTCGATCGGAAGATAACGAAAGAAAGACACACATCACGGCGGCTCCATCTCCAGCTCCGTCAGAGCCTGAGCCTTTGGACGAAAATCTGTTTTCGGACTTAACGATAGTGAGTCCGGTCCAACACTTACCTCAGCCCATCGATGCAGTGTCTTCTTCCTCGGAGACCTCGACGACGGCGAAGAATTACGGACGTCAAGTGTCTCGGAGGAAGAAAAGAGCCGCCGGATTAAGAATCGGATACGGGAGGCACGAGATTAACAGTCTCGACGAAGACGAAGATGATTCCGTCAGTCAACAATCGGATTCCGTCAGTCAACTACCTGATTCCGTCAGCCAAGTGTCTGATTCCGTCAGTCAAGTGTCGGATTCCGTTGATCAGTCTTTGGAGTCTGGAGTTGGTAGCTCAAGGTTGGAGTTAGTGAAGGCTCAGATCGAAGGGAAGCTAACCCGTGCTCTTGAAATGGCCGCTTCGGTTGCAGCTGCTCGCAAGAATGCGATCAGGAAGAGAAGGCAAGCATCTGAGAATCTCAGATTAGCTTCCGCAACGCACGACGAGCTCGAGAAGCAGCTTGAGGAAGCAATTGAGGCTGAGGATTTTGATGCGGCTGAGAGGATTAGCGAAAGCCTCGCGGCTGCGGAAAGAGATAAGCAAGCTCTCATGGCATTGCTCCGTCAAGCAGAATCTGATTGTGACGCTATTGAAACGAAGATGGAGGAGGTCCTTCTTGCCCAGATTTCCGCTGAGGAAGACTCTGCCTCTCTGCTTCGTGGGTTTTGCACGGTATGTCACCAAATTCATCTATCCTTCTGCTTTGCGCCGTCGTTTACTTGATTTTTTTGTTAGTTATGTCGAAACTGCTTAGTGGAACTGAAAAAGGTCGAGAAATGTCTAAGGTTGCTAGGACTTTTATCTCTATAGGATGCTGAGAGTGACGCTGAATCAATTCTAGAGAAGGCAGAGGCTTTTTGTTCAGAGGAAATGGGGAAATGGCAATCATGTTCTGAAGATGTGGAGGTCAGAAAATTCGAATTGGATATAGAATCTGTCATAGTTGATAGTGTTCTGTTGTCATTGAATGGTACTCTTGAGGGATCGGTTGAACAAGAGATGAAAGAAAAGGAGACGTTAGTTAAGAAGAAAGAACATTTGGCAGATGAACTTCAGGAGCTGCTTGCTCTGGTGAAGGCAAAGGAGAAGGAGATTGATGAGAACGATCTCCAAATAAAGGCAGTCCAGACAAGGATTAATAGTGTAGTCTCTGGCTACAAGGAATTGCAAACAAGCATGGATAAAATGTCTAACGATGTGCAAACGGGTCTCTCTCAGATTGATATGGAAACTGAAGCTTTATCAACGAAAAAGAAAGAAACGGACGAGTTCATTGCATCTGAGAAGGAGAGAGCAGCCAAACTCCGTGATCTTGTCAGTGTTTCAGCAGATGAAGCATTTGAGTATGAGAAAGTTATTAAATTGCGGAAAACTCTAATGTCATATGTGTCAAAAACTAGAGAAGAGAGAGCCAAGCTTGTAAATATCGAAGAGAAGCTTTCCGAGGAAGTCCAGAGGCTACAAGAGGAGGTTTCCAGTACCCGAGAGTCAATTAAGGTTTTTCTCTTCTTCTTCCTAAGTCGCTGCAACATAATATATAAGGAATCTTGTTTCACCTGTATTAGTGTTTTAACAAGATTAATGCACAAGGCAACCTATGACTATCTATCTACAATTACTTATCCACAAAGTGCATATTATTGGGAAAAAGTCTCTCTGGTGGAACAGGTTCTACCATGTTATTTGCTCACCTTGGTTACATCACTCCTAGCTTTTATGAGCTGAGAATAATTTTGTTTTTGCGTTTATAAAACAATATGGCATTGAATAATGTAAATGTCATTTGCCTTTATCAATCCCGTCTCTTTGATTTAAAGTATCTGCCACCAGTTCTTATCAATCCCGTCTCTTTGGTTTCAGGAGCAATCTTCTAGAAAGTCGATCATCCAGCAGAATATTACATCGTTCATGGATAAAATTATGTTCATAGAAAAAAGGTTGCCAGAGCTTGAAGCAGAGAAGAAAGTGGCTGCCTCGACGAGAAATTTCAAAGAAGCTGGAAGAATAGCAGGAGAAGTGAAGTCCTTAAATCTAGAAAAGGAGAAGATACAGATTGAAACAGGAAAAGCTAACTCTGAGCTCGAAAAAGCAGAGCATGAGATTGAAGAAACGATCAAGAGGTTACAAGAGCTAGAGAGGTTGATATTGTCAAAAGAAAAAGAATTGTCTATCAGTAGATTCCAGAGATTGCGGATTGACAGCAGCACTGCAAAAGCCGAGAGATCAGCAGCTCTGGAACTGAGTGAACTCGAAGAAGCAAATCTTCTACTTGAGGAAGCACAAGAGGCAGAATCCGAGGCAGAGAAGCTTCAACTAACATGCGATCTCAAGGAGGAGGAAGAAGAAGAGGCAAAATCTTATGAAAGTTTTGTCTCGATGGAACTTATAGCCACACTTGGTCTAAAAAAATTAGAAGAACTTGCAGAAACTGTTCAATCAACTTGATCAGCAATGTTCATCTAAACTCTGAAGCTGCTTCAGGTTCACAACGAAGGGACCAAAGGAACACGCGGAGATGATCAAGGTAAAAGATTCAAAAAGTTTTGTTGATTCATCAACAACATTAAGCTCCTTAACACACAGTCCGCATGTATGGTTTTGTTTTTTTGGGATCCAATGTTTGATTGATTGCTTAATGAAAGAAAAAGAATGTAAAGTTTGTTGAAGCAACTAAAACTACTTTGCAGCTCAATATTGCATACCTTTTCTGTACCTGAATGAAGATGACTTCGATTCGATCGAAATTGCTGTTGCCAATGTAAGTGATAGTGTCATTCCAGTCCGGCATTAGACCGGTCTGTGAATCAATATCATATGAGTGATGTTAACCGTCGATTTATCTCTGCTTAATTGATTTGGCGCTAAACGCTATCTAATAGACAAGACGAGTTACCGTCTAGCAAAAATTTTGAACATTGATTTCAGCGTGAAGTAACTACTAATTGAGTTTGTTAAAAAAACAAAAGTAATTGCTAATTGGTGAGGTGGGTTAAAATATAAAAGTTAAAAAAACTTCTGTAAGATCTTCCTTCCACTAA